CCTCCTCTTCCTCCTGGTGCTCAGCATCACTGAGCCGCTGCGGCCAGGTACGGGGGCCGCGCGGGGACACAACGGGACGGGGGACGGGCGGCGACCCCCGCGGAGCGGCCTCCCATTGGGCGGCGGCGCCGTGACGTAGGTGGCGCGGGGGGGCCGGGGTTGCCCTGGGCTGTGGGGAGGGGGCACAGGCACAGGTCATGGGGCGCTTTGTGAGGGCTTGGCAGTCGGGGTGCTGGGCATCTACCTGCCCTGGTGCATGGGTTTGGGGGGGTCCTGGCCCCAGTCTTGGGGGATGGGGGAGGTGGGAGATCTTGGCTGGGGTCTGGGGCGGGGCAGCACCCACCCACAGGTCTGGGGAGCAGCTCTGTGGTGCCATTGTCCAAAGCCATTGGTCATCGTGCAGGATTATGGGTATCCCATGGTGCTGGGCCCTTCTCTAGGGGTGCTGCACAAGCTATCACGCCCAGGGGAGACCGCCCAGGTGAGGAGATCTGCTGGGCGAACTTCCCACCTGGGTCTGCTGTGCCTGCGCCATTGACAGTGGGGACTTGGCTTTCCCCCTTGTCCTCCATAGTCCTGTTGGTAGGTAGATTCCTAGTTGCTTCCTAGTCTAGTTACTTTTTCTTCCCACTTGGATTTACCTGGAGTGCACCCAGACTGCAGCGTGGGCTTTCATAGTATGGGGACCTCGGCAGAAGGCGGTATCCATGTGCCTTGTACATTGGTTGTGTTGTTGGCCCATAATGGGGGATGGCTCAGTCTGCCTCCAGCTATGGGCTTGGGAGCTTCTTTCCAAGTTAAGTTGTGGATGAAAGGGGACCCCTCTCTGTTCTTAGCTTCCCACAGCAGCCTTTCCTGCCAGCCCCTGAGCAGATTTGAAACCAAGTTGGATTTGATTGAACTCGTTTCCCACAGGGCAGAACTTCACTCAATGCATATGTTGGCTGATCTGTTTCTTGCCAAGCGCCGTGTTCTGGGGATTGGGAGCAAAGAACTTATCATAACTTTTTGAATATTTAAGTAAAAAGCATGGAGCGCTCCTGTTAATTAACATTGAACATCTCCGTGTGCTGCGGAGGTATGGGTTGGTTTCCATGCTTGCTTTTTCTTTACTTTATTTTATGGGACTTGTCACTTAAATGCCAAGAAAATGTTCTTGGCCGAAACTGGATCCCTTTTGTTTTTATCCTACAACTTGTTTTTGCATACAGTTTGGTGAGCTAAAGGAGAGGGCCCTTTGCTCCTCCTTTCCCACTTCCTGTTTTCAGGTTCTGTTTATTTTGTGCTTGTGTTAAGAAAAGATCTCAGTAGTTGTTTATCAAGGAACTACAATTTGAATAGATATTATTTGTCGTTTTTTGGAGTTGCTGCTGCTTATTGAATAGTACCTCCTTGTTACATTCTTGTTTGTGGGTGCCCTGGCTTCTTAGGTGGAGATGGGTAGAGCTGTTGTAGCATTTAAATTCTGATGCCTCAGAGGAATGGTAGGAAAGTTGAATGAGGGTTGGGACCCAGCTGGATTTGGAAGACATGAAAGCTGCCTTCCTGATGCCCTAATAGGAATGTGCTCGGCCTGTTTACAACTGAGATAAGTGGTAGTATCCCTTACCAATAAACATAGATTACCAATGTCCTTGTGTTTGCCTTTGTCATAACTTTTTACGGAACTTAGTGTTGGAAACTTGCTTACAGCATAGTATTACCTAATCACAGTTAAAACAGCACAGTTTCATTCAACGCTGGAGACAGCCACAGCGTATAAAGTTCAGTGCTATGTTGAAACTGGATTGTTGGTTTTATGGACTAGAGGGATACTTGGTTCATTTAAATAATAATAAATAAGCCTGGCTAGAAACTTGTGAAATGTAACAATCAGCTGAATTTCTGGTTACAAATACCCTGTAGAGATTCAGCCTTTCTGCATACTCTTCCATGTTGTGAAATTTGACCCTGAACACTGTGGTCTGATATAAGTGATTGGTGTAGACTAGTAGAAATTAGTAAAACAGAATGTTCCCTTGTTGGATCAGACCATTGGTCCTTCTAGTGTGACATCACGCCTCTGTCAGTGGCCAGTCCTTGATGCATCATAGGAAGGTAAGACCTTCACCAGGGTTTGTTGCACTGGTGCAAGCTTCTTTTCACACTGGTCCCGTGTGTCTGCTCTGAAAGTTCGTTCTGGTATAGCTAGGGCTGTGAACACTTCCCCACTGTGGACAAACCCTAATTCCCCTCTCTGAAGTTGGATAATCCTAGCTTTTGAAGTCTCCCTTCTCTTTGAACTGTGTAGATGTGTTAATGTGAGGTAATCAAAATTGGACACAGTGTTCTGGATACAACGTGCTGCTGTTAAGGAATTTCAGAAACCCTGAATATGCATCCACTTGTTGTATGTGCCTTAAATGTTAATGCTCTGTGGGCAGTTGTCTTCCTTGAGCTGTCCATGGTGATTCCCACCTTTCTCTCGTAGGAACCCAGAACTTTAGAACCTGTCACTTTTGCATAACAGCTCTAGTCTGTGTGCCAGTGTTACTCTCTTTAAACTTACATAGTTAACGTCCAGGTTACTGGCTGCCAACAGATGACACTTCATTCAATACATGAGATAAACACCTGAGTCTATTCTGATGACATTAAAGGTGCAGACTGGAAAACTAATGTTTCATTTGAAAGTGTTCAAAGTTATCTTGTGTGTTGGTTGCAAAGCTATTGTGAGTACTTTGTATCTGCTGGATGTCAGTAGCAGGCGGGGGTGCATGTTCTGAGGAGAGACTGCTTGCTTGCTTTTGGGGAGGGGTTCAACTAAGACTTGGGATCTGAGAGTTTTTTCTCCAGTAATGCCTCTCTTCCCACTTTCTTAAGCTGTGGTAACTCTCTCCTAACTGTAGGAAAGTTAGCGGCAGCATACTTGGCTTACTGGTTTTAACTGCGGCTGCTACAGAGTAGTGTGAGGCTTTCCCTCCATAACAAGGACTCAGTGTGCTGCCCAATATAGTGCTAGTCAAGTCCATTTTTGTGCCCACGTTGTTGCTGTATCTTAAATCAAGACTAACTTTCATTTTTTCCTTTGCCTCAATGCCTTATCTGTTTTGATAGGCTGAAATGAAATAGCTTGTCTGGATCTACTCTTGCATCCCTAGTGTTATGTTTGGTGGAATCACAGCAAACCCTATGGCAGTCTGTTCCAGAGGTGTCTAGAAGAGTCCCAGAGAGCATTTAGGCACCCAGCTCATCTTGAAAATTCACAGATACCAAAGTGCTCTCTGGGTCTTTGAGATTTCTTCGTAGCATATTCAAGTTTGTTCTGGCCTCAGTGCTTATTACTGTCTAAACTATTTGTCACTAAGGTGCTAAATATTCAGGAGGCATTACTTCCGTGGCCTAATGTTTTTCCATCAGGTTGGCTTGGCTGTATGTTTGGAAGCTGAACATGTGGACTTTGAAGCTTGAAATACCAGATCTGGCCACTTGCATAGGTGTTCAGGGAAAACTGGATTTGAAACCTTCAGAATTCAGATTTACTGTTCTTCTTTCATATGACAAAAATGGGGTATCTTTATCTTTGTGCACTTTGGCGTTTTTGTCAGGTTGGGAGCTCTTGGCTGTCCAACGTTACCAGGGATCACTACGTGGAAGTGGCTCTCACCGATGCCCAGATTTACTGCTGAGTGAACCATACTGGGCTTTTAGATATCGCTCTTGGAGATCTTGCTACAAGTCAGATTTGGTTAACGTTGGTTATTGTATGCTTTTTCAAAGCGGCTGTAAAGAAATTGCTTTAGCTTACATGACTAGTCAGTCAAGTAGCCGAGTAAGTGTTTTAAAGACATGTTTCAGTCAAATCTTAAGTGAGTCATGATTTTAAATTGTAAGTTATTAGTTCTGCATTGGGCTGGTTGAATTTAAACGTCAAAGAATCCCTGGCACATTTTAAATAAATGCAACAAAAATGTAATCTGAAAGAAACAAATTCAGTTGTAGAGCACTGTTTGAGAATAAGTAGGAAATGAAGAGAACTAGTGTCTCCAACATTGTTCATTTATGTTGTTGGTTTCTGTTCTTAGAATGTTTCCTGCTGTGTAATACATTAATATGACTTGAAAGTACAAGCTGCTGCTGCTTTTTTTTTTTTTAAAGTTGTGTGGAGCATTAATTAAGATTATCACTGCTAAAGGCAGTTAAGTGTTTTACATATTTCTTAAAAGATATTGCTGCTTAGTAATGTAAAACATTTAATGGGGACAAGCTTTTGTATTGGGTTTTAGCAATGTATTCTAGTACAAGCGCTTATGAATGTAGGTCACTGGGCTGTCTTATCAAGCCATTCATGAGACAGCTAATAGCCAATTGAGTTCTCTTCTTCAGACCCTCCCCCACCCTTCCATGCACTTAATTTAGGTAATCAAAGTTACCTAAAGGAGATAATTTTCTGTTGTTAAAATCTTGTGTCACTGAGCTGATCAGCATTGGTTACAAGACTTGCCAGTGCAGGTTGTTTAATTAAAAATTGATCTGAAACTTATTTTTAGCTCTGAGGTTAACATTTTGATAGGCACTGATGTCAGCTTTAGGTGAGTGAGTCTTGTTCTAGGATTTGCCAAATACAGTGCTAGTATAACGATACGTGATGTGCATTTTTAAACTGCTGAAAGTTTGATTGTTGTCTTCTCTCCTGTCCTCAATAATTTCTTAACACCACTTACATAATTAGACCTTTCTGTAGGATAGTAACAAAGCCCTTCAATTGCCAAGGATCTAAACTGTGCACTTGACCTACTTTTTTTTGAGATAAGGGAAGTTAATCATAGATAAACACTGTCCAAGGAAAGATGGCCCACTTGAACTCTTATTGAATGGGTGTAAAAAAGGATGGTCCATGTTGCCTCCCTTTCCAGCTGAGTACTGTGTTTAGTGTGGGCTGGGGATGGGTTGGTTCTTCCTTGGTTTTACAGGGTCTTTTTTTCTTTCCTTTTGTGGAGGCCTTATCCCCTCACAGTGTAGAATGTAGGTTAGAACAGGGTCAGGCAAAATATGGCTTGCAGGCTGG